TGTTAGAAATATTTTGAAAGACTTTCTAATATTATCTATAAATACCAAATCCATAAAATAATCACATCTAAACCTATCGAATTTTGGAGGATTGTTTGAAGTGACTTTTCAAGTGCTTCAAGAATTTCTAAATGAGTTTTTCATCTTTCTTTTTTATGCTCCCGTCTTCTCCATTTTTTTTCTCCTAATAATATTGCAATATTGTTCATTGCTCATATATAATATTGTAGTACTATTCTCATTCTATTCCCCTATTTTGTGAAACTCCGATATATAAATGATAGTATCATTGACTTGCTCTATTTTTCTCTTTGTTCTCTTTAATTAACTTGCTCTATTTTATTCTATTTAGTTGAATTTGTTCCTTTATATAACACAAAAAAAAAATACTTGAAATTTTAACTTTTAAGTGGTATTTTTTTTATAACACATGTCAAGAAAAGAGAAAGGTAAAAGATGAAATTGATATCATGATCTCTACAATACATATATATATATATATAGCTGGAGGAAAAACCCTCTCAGCATAAAAACTGCGATCTCTCTCATTCCCTTGAGTTTGTTACTCTTATTCCTCATCATTTTATAACTTAACAATTATGTTATTTTTTTTACTATGAATTTTTTTAATTTTTATATTATGAAATTATGATTTTTTTTTATATTTAAAGAAAGAAGAAATTAACATAAGACATTGCAGTATCTAATTTTCTAGGGTTTAATGATGTATTCATAACACCAAATCTTAACAATGATGCATTCATAACACCAGATCACTATGAACCACCTTACCAGCCTCCATCACCTCACCCAAGCATTTCACCACCTCAACCCCCTTTAAGCTCAAAGGTTCCCACTGAAAAACTAATTAATTATAAGCGGAGTAGGTCCGAGTATGGAGTGAGTTCTAACTCACTTGGGAACAATAGTCAAGCCAAAGTTCTAGAAAATCTATCTGTTGGCATTGAGATTATAGCCGCCAATTTTGAAAAAATGTCTAACTTGATGGAGAAAATAGAAAGATACCAAGAGGCAAAGGAAAATATTTGGAGTGCCATAAAAGAGATCCCATATTTGGATGATCGAACTCGCTACATGGCGGCTGATTTGCTCGATACTAATGCAAAAAAAGACTTTTTCTTGATGTTGTCAATAGAAGAGCATTCAAATTGGATAAAGTACAAGCTAGGATGAACAATATTATTTTTATGTTATTTTGGTTGCACTTGATTTGAGTATTTTCTTTATAATTTGGTTGTGTATGAACACAAGTTGGATTTGTCAAACTGTATTGTTTTGGTGTTATTTTAGTTGCACTTGATTGAAGTGTTTGTTTTATATTTTGATTGTGTATGAACACATTTTGAATGGTGAAATTATATTATTTTGGTGTTATTTTGGTCGTACTTGATTGAAATATTTTAACATGTTTTATTTTTTTATTATATTATTATTTTGTTATGGATATGTGAGTGAATGTTATTTAAGAGCATATGATATTAAGAATTATTATTATTATTATTATTTATCTAAACATTGTTATTTTTTTTATTATTTTTGTCTTTGACTCTTTAAATTTGAATGTATGAATTTTTTTTTATAAATCTTATCATATGTCAAAAATTTACAAAAATTTTACAAATTTCACAAAATCTCATAGAATCCATTAAAATCCTGATTTAAAGTCTTGTAGAATTTATTAAAATCTTGATTTAAAGTCTTGCAGAATTCTGCAAAGTCTCAAAAGTCATAAAAATCCTGCAAAGTCTTTTAAAATCTGTAAAAAAAAAATTAACTAAAAAAATCTTTTGAAATCCTAATACAATACACCCCCTTAATCTTACAAACATCTCAGTGAAGTCTTTACTTTCGACCGGCTCAGATTATAGAAATACTGTACATTAAGAAAATACGAAAATCTCAATTATTGAAAATAGTTGGAAAAATATTTTTATCATATCATATAAGGTTGAGGTATTATTGAATGTCACTATTATGTTTTGTATTGGTATGACGACTTTATCGTATCGCTATTATGCATAATTATAGTTAAGTGAATGTTATTAAAATGGATGTTACTATCATATTGTATATCGATATAAACATGGACGAAGCTAGAATCGAAAGTGAGGAGGACAACTTTAAAAAAAGTTTTTCATTAAATATATACTTACTAAGTTTTAAATAGGAATATTTATATTTATTTGTTTCAAAATGTTAAGTAGATTAATAGTTTATCAAAATATAAAATATTTATTTTCTATATCATGAAAATTATCTATAATTAAATAAATAATACATTTCTTTTAGCAATTTTTATATTTGTAGTTATAATTCTATATATCATGCTCTAAAAATTTTATAATTCTTGACATACACAAAGTGTCGTGACACATTAGATATACTTAAATGCCTCAATAAAAATTGTAATTATTGGAAAGTCTTTATTAGTTTAACTAGTGAAAAAAGAATGTGACTCATAATTAAGAATAAGTTACTTACAAGCAGTACAAGACACAAAGAAATTTGAGTGAAAAATTAAATAAAGTAATATTATACTTCTTAAAATTCTAAATAAATAATTGAACTTAACAAAAAAAAAATATTAGAGAGGGGAGGGGAGGGGAGAGTGAGGGGCAATGCAACACATCCATCCATCCTTGATTATAAAAATCTTATCGTATCTTTATCACGTGTCACTGTAATTACGTAAATATCATTATAGTTAGATGTATATTACTATCATGGTGTGTATAACTTTTTTTATAGTGGATCTTCTTCTCAATAAATGAAGGGTAATTCAATTTTTTCATATGCTTGTTTGAATATTGAGAAATAAAAACATGAAATTTAAGTTAAAAAAAGATGGAAAAATTAAAACATGTTAGAGTTTTATATTTCATAAAGTCGATTTTTTCTTCAATCAAATAAAATATGTATCATTATTTTTTTTTTCTTCTTTCTTCTTATTCAAACATATAGTATTAGTTAAACATCAAGCGATTTTTAGTTTCTTGCGGGAGTGTTCAATTTGAACCATGTCTGGGAAAAAAAATTATTAACTCATGAATCAATCTATTAACTTATCTATTCATTCCATTTTAATGGATCTAGTTGGTTATCCTGTGTATAATTTATATCCGCTTTAATATCCAAAAGTTATTTGATTTTAGTCCTATATATGAACTTTTAACTAGAAACTAATATGAGGGAGTGAAATATTTTTCATCAACTCTCCCTATACGGCACCATCGATCAGATCGAAAAGAAAACCAATAATTGATTGTGCATAGTGTCAAGTTGTTACATACATAAGTCAAACTGACCTTAGAGCAATTTTATTGCTGAAAGCCTGAAACGGTTGCCTTTGCCTATCTTCTCTTAGGTCGGCCAACTTTTTTCTTAATTTATTGTTTCTACCAGATCAAACACAATCTTAATTTTTCTTTTCTCTCACGCCATCTCACTGCGATGTTCTACGTAAAAATGCTTTATTTTTATTAAAATTATTGGCATGTCAATCACTGGCTGATGAAAATATAGCTTGATTTTATGGGTAGCATAGCGTTTGAGTTTGACCCAGCCAAAAAGTGCAAGAAAAAAATAATAAAAAAAAAATTTAGGGGAAAGGAATAAACTTTGCCACGTACACGTACACTACATGATGAAAATTATATTAACTAACAATCTTCCTCTCCAAGAAAGAGAACAAGCTACATTCCCACTCTACTAGACAGTAATTGGTGAAAAGCAGAATATGGGAATTGCAAAACAAGCTTTGGAGCATGAATATATCTTCAACTCAACGCAATTGACTCTATGCAATGTCACTGTGACTCTGTTAGCACTCAGACAGCTTCCGCTCACAAATCATCTTCTTCCACAAGAGAAATAGTGTGTGTTGTTTCTTTTATAATAATAAGAAGAGAAAAAGGTATACTAGCCAATTGATTGGTCCCTAGCTATTTTGATTTCCCCACACGGTACAATCAAGCCCGTTAGGAATTAACGTACAACATTGTTTTTCTAGTTGCTAGACTTTATGAATGGTATACTTATTTATAGTATTTACTTATTTAGAGTGACTAGACATTCATGTTTACGTAGTTACGAGCAAGGATATTTCAGAGTCACGGTAATAAGTAATAACAAAGGGGAAAACGTTTGGTACATAAAAACGAAAAAATAACTTTTTTTTAATGTATTTTTGAAAATACGTATGAATAAAACCCCATAAAACTAAATAAAAAATAAAATAATTACAGTAGTAGTACAATTCACAAAACATCACATTTAATATCAAAATTTAATATACTAGTATTAATTAATGAAATTATTGCAACGTATGTGTATGGTCAGCCTTCATTGACTGAAAGTAATAACCTGCATTGATTAAAAGTCTTGAACCGTGATGAATGATCAGCATTCACCGGTCTTTGAATAAATAAGTAGAAGCGAAATAAGGTAGACATTTATTTTTTTGTACGATAAGGTCTTAGCTATACGGCGAAATACGACAGGTACGTTGAAATGTCACAAGAAGCATGTGAGAGTGTGAGTATGGTGTTGAGCATGAAGCGAAGTGAAGTGAATCCCAGACCAATCTACATCTTACTTTTGAATGCTTAGCTGTCTCTCTTAGACCGTGACCCAACAATCTCACCTTAAACAAACGAGCAACGACTACTATACGAATAAGTAATAATAATATCTGACGTGTCCCATGCACATGTGAAAGAGAAACAAAATGAAACGTGTCAACCGTTTAAGTGGCTTACCAACAACATGGTCAGCAGCGCTTCTGGTACACTTGGAGCCCAGGTAGGATCGGACAACCGTTTAATCCGAAGCTGGAGGTTCCATCCGAAGCAAGAAAGAATGACAAAATTAGCGTGCACTCTGCAATTAAGAATTTATTTTTATAATTTGCCAGCCTTACATAGAAGCTAGCAATTTGTATTATACCTGAAGGCTGAAGGCGATAGATAGAGATTACTGATTAGAGAGAGAAAGTGTGTGGGTGTTGTTGTGGCAGTCATTGTATTTGCACCTTGTGAGAGAAGCCTAAATGATGAAAAGGCAAAGGCATTGAAGCAACAAAAAAGCAACACAGATTCAGCGAGGAATTCCAATTACTTCTCCTGCAAGCCAGTTTCCGCCATTAAAACGCTCAACAAATTCTCACGAGAAATCTCATCGCATCGACAAAAGCAAAAACCAACCCTTAGCTTCCATTGCTATAAAACCTGATTCTCTCCGATTTTCTTCTCCAACTTCCAATGGACGTCGTTGCTTCCTATTCCTTGCTTTTCATGTGCTTCGTTCAAACCGTACGAGCCATTCTAGACCCCAACGATTTCCTCGCTCTGCAATCCATTCGGAAATCGCTTCACGATGTCCCCGGCTCCAATTTCTTCGCCACCTGGGACTTCACCGCCGACCCCTGCAACTTCGCCGGCGTATACTGCGCCGCCGACAAAGTGGTCGCGCTCAACCTCGGCGACCCCCGCGCCGGTTCCCCCGGTCTAACCGGAAAACTAGACCCTTCCATTTCCAAACTCTCCGCTCTGGCCGACTTCACCGTGGTTCCGGGAAGAATCTACGGTCCACTCCCTCAAACCCTCTCCCAACTAAAAAACCTCCGGTTCCTGGGCGTGAGTCGGAACTTCATCTCCGGTTCGATCCCCTCCGGTTTGGGGAACCTTCGCAAAGTGAGAACCATCGATCTCAGCTACAACCAGCTCAGCGGAACAATCCCTCCCTCCATCGGAGCCATGCCGGAGTTAACCAACCTCATCCTCTGCCACAACCGTCTCTCCGGTTCGGTTCCCTCCTTCGCCTCGGCTCATACCCTAACCCGCCTCGAACTCAAACACAACTCTCTCTCCGGTTCGCTCGGACCGCATTCTCTCCCTCCCTCCCTCCAGTACCTCTCCCTCTCATGGAATCGCCTTAGTGGGCCCGTGGACCGCCTCTTAACCCAACTCACCCGGCTCAACTACCTGGACCTTAGTTTAAACCAGTTCACAGGCCCAATCCCGGCCCAGCTGTTCTCATTCCCTCTCACAAACCTACAACTCGAGAGAAACCAATTCAGCGGCCCGGTCCAACCCGTTAATGAAGTAACGATCGAAACCGTTGATCTGAGCTATAACCGCCTATCGGGTGCGGTGTCGCCCATGCTAGCGAGCGTGCAGAACCTGTACCTGAACAACAACGGCTTCACGGGGCAAGTTCCGGTGACCTTCGTCCAGCGGTTGTTGGCGGCGGGGATTCAGATTCTGTATTTGCAGCACAATTTCTTGACCGGAATCGCCATAAGCCCCACGGCGGAGATTCCGGGAAGCAGTACTCTGTGTTTGCAGTACAATTGCATGGTGCCGCCCGTTCAGACGGCGTGCCCCTTCAATGCCGGCAAGAGGAAAATACGGCCAGCTGAGCAGTGTAACCGCCGCTGACTGCTGTCTCAAACTGAACCCTTTTCAGTTTTATATTTATATATTTGTTGCTATATTCAATTCACCCTTTTAAAAGAATATCATATATACAACAAAATCATATATTATATATGTATTTTATTTCTCTACTTTTTTTTCATCATTTCATTCATTTTTTCATATGAATAAGACGATTGTGAATACTATCATGAGTGTAGTGCAGACCCAGTGGTTAGAGATTGATGTTCCGTGTAATATTACTGATTATTAATGTAATATATTCGTTACAAATAAAAATTGTTGGTCAGTGTCATTTTACGTTGTTTTTATAATAATTGACATCACTTTTTGCACCAATATCTTTGCTTAATAGTCTCACACACACACACAAAAAAAATAAAAAAATCTTGGCTTAATGGGCACTTTCATTCTCTGTCATGAACGATACGTGGGAGAAATAGGTGAAAAAAAAACAAAGAAATAGATATGAATTTGAAATAAATATTATTGTTTGGTTGTCAAGGGAAAGATGAGAAATAAAAGTGGGTCTCGCATGTTTTATTTTCGTTACCATGTACGTGAAAATGCAACAAAATTTGGTTGGTTATGAAACAAAAACGCGATTGACGAACGCCTAGTCCTTGCTCGCAAATTGTCATTTTAATTGATTAAACTTCAAATAATCTATTAAACGAATTGAAGCACCTTATTATCATCGTCACTAAATAGTCCTAAAGTCCACTTTAATCGATCGATTAAAAATTAACAATAATCAATTAAATAAAGTGTCAAAAACTTGTTGATATGAATCAATCTACTAATTTATCATTTTAATCAATTATGCGTGACCGTTAGTGATTTATAGTATCATTGTTATGTTATTGATAAGACTATGTTTGGATTGATGGTAAAGAGTGGGATGAAGGGAGATAACGTGAATGGTAGTTTTCATTCCATTGTTTGGTTTTATATAAATGAAGATGGTAAAACACGAAGGAAGATGAGATCTATTGATCTATTGATCTTTTTTTTTTTTGATAAGCAAAAGAGATTAATATTAAAAGGAGTACAAGGGGTACTCCAACCCGTTACAAGAGATACAGATACAAAATTAGTCTAAAATCTAAAATAGAAACTATAAGAAATACAATGTTGGGTTATTATACCAAGTTGAGTAACTAAAAGAACAAACAGGGATAGAACAATTTATCCACTTCCATGAACGCAATTTAATATTATCCAACACTTCCTTGGCATCTATAGTACCTTGCTGAAAGATAATAACATTTCGATGAAGCCATAGGGACCAAATGACAGAAACCCAGACTACTCGCAATAATTGAGAATGTTTTTCATATATGCCAAGATTCGTCCAATATAAATAATGAGAAGTTATAGAATTGGGGAACACCACCGTAACCTCCAACCACTTAGCAACAGCTAACCAAGTATTAAAAGCCATCGGACACATTAGAAAGAGATGAAGAGGATTTTCTACAAACAGAGAGCAAAAAGAACAGAGATTATTTTCCAACTCCACACCACGTACTTGTAACAATGATTTGCACGGGAACGCATTCAATAGCACTTGCCAACAAAAGACCAAACACTTGATCGGAGCCTTACATTTCCAAAGTCTTTTTATAACTAGTTGAAAATCCGAAGAGTTTCTGAGTTCTCCACCTACCGATCTTTGTAGCCAAAGGTACGCACTTTTCACCGAGAATACACCGTCCTTGTCATAAATCCATCTCCAATAATCTTGCCTTGACGAGATAACTTGCAAGCCCTTAAGCATATCCAACAAGATACAAGATATTCACACTCCTACCTTCATGGACAAAAGGTTCTCTTCTCCACTTAACCTGCCACACCCATGTAGATCCCTCCCAAGTTCCATTATCTGCCACCACTGACAATGGGTCTAAGGCAAAGGAGAACAACCGAGGAAATACTTCCAACAAGCGCAAACCACCTATCCACTTATCCTCCCAAAATCGGGTCATAGACTATAACATAAAAATTGATCCATTCTATTGATACAACAAAAAATTGTTGGATTAAATATTATTTTTTTTGGATTGGGTTAATAATTATAATCAATTTTTTAATACTATAACATATTATAACACGAATAGGCATTTCCAAGAGTTAACTTCAATACTGTTAAACAAATAAGGTAATTTCTTTCTAGTGTAGTTAAACACACAAAACAAAATAAAAATAAGGATAACATTGTATTGAAAAGTGTTGGTTTATTATGTTCCATTTTTTTATTATTTATTGATGGAATGGAATATTCATTCCATTTTATTACAAATTAATCAAACAATAGAATGACATATTTATATAATCCATTCCATTTTAATCCATTTTACACTATGTTTTGATCTATTTTATTATTCTCTATCTCTAATATAAGCATAGACTAAAGTCGATTAAATTATGACGTTTTTACATTTCTTATTAATCAAATTTACATAATATCTAATTTGATTAAATAAATATGATGACATTAATTAATCTAATTTATAAGGATATAAGTAGAATATACAATATCATATTATTTATTTTTCCTCTCCTTCCATCGAAACCAAACAATTTCATAATATTATTTTTCTTCTTTCTCCCTTTTGTTTTTCTTAAACTAAATAATCTAGAATTTTACTTTATTTTTATTCTATTTCTTCCTCATCTATCTTCCTTCACTCTATTCTTTTCCTCATTACTAAAGAGGTGTATAAGTCATGAAGCCATGACTTTATAATACTATAATAAAAGAAAAATATCAGTAGTTCACATTTTGTTGAGTATTGCTATCCAAAAGAAATAAAAAATAATAATTAATATAATTAGTGATGTAAGAAAATGTTAATAACACATTTTTTTTAACTAAATACCATTGGATATATATCATACATCTTTTAAACTTTTACTTTACATTATAATATAAATTTCACTCGTAATTCTGTAGTTTCAATAAATTTTAAGTAATAGTGAAGGTTCTCTTAGAAAGAGAGTCAGAGAGTGTTACTAATACTACTTGTTGATTTAATGTGATAACGAAAGAAGGATAAAAAATATACATACATATATATAATGGGTGTGACTATTGTGTGTGGGGGAATTAAAAATTAATAGGAGGGGATGACATCCCAATCAAGGTATGGAAAGTCTCCAAACTTAAAAAAGTATTTACATAATTACTTCTATTTACATAATTACTTCTATTTACCTCACCTCACATAGACGAGAGTGTGAGATCACTTGTTCCACTCAACCAACTCTTTAGGTTATATTGTTTAAGTGATGAGATAATTATTACTGTATTATAAATGCAATTATTATGTCTTGATTCACTTTTAGCTTATTGTTGATGTGTTAACTAGTCATTAACTAGATTAAACCACCAAATTAATGACATTTCCTTTGTGTTATTTGAGCTACATAATTCTCGAATTCAACTTTCTGAATGATGCATAAGCATAAAAAATAAAAATAAAAAAAAAACTTTGTGAATTATGCATGAATAAATCCCACTCTTCTCTTAAATATACAGTCATTTAAGCGTCAAAATTATTTTGTCAGAATGTTGCTCCATCCACCAAAATTAATTGTCAACCATTGCAATTCTGGCAACTATAGGGAGAAGTTATTGTGTGTCGTTTTCCACTTACGTTCATCCAAAGTATTCCTACATTGTTTTATTGAACATTATATACACTTATTTATATTTTAATACTTGTATATCTAAAAAATAATAATAATTTAAAATTTAAATTTAAATTAAAAATTATCTCACCATTTTCTTCATTTTTATGATACATCATCCTCCCCTCCCCCATGTAAATCTTTTTAGTGGGTGATAATGAACGTATGCTTTTCTTCTTCTTTTTTTGAAAATTTGGGAATACTTGGCTAGAAGCTGTTATTTTTACCTTCTGTATTTTTTTTTAAATTTGACGTAAAAATACGAAGAAAAAAATATGAGTTCAAAATGGGTGCCCAAACACGCTAAAAGTTTAATGTATATATGTTTGGATTTGCACCAGACCTAATTTATCTTTTATTGTTAGTGTTATGAGTATATTTACATCAAACTTCAGTACATACTCATTGTAAACACTAATGAATCTATAACAAATTTAATTTTTCCACAAGTATGCGCAACCCCCCCCCCCCCCC